GTGTTGCAAGCAAATATTATGCAGTGTTGTCTGTTCTTCTCCAGTAACAACACTAGAATCACACACACATATAACAAGGAAAACGCCACTCAAAACATGTCAAGTCACAATTAATTTCAATGTGAAGATGGCCCTAATTAAACAGTCTGTTTTACAGCAAGCTTAAGTATATACATAATTCCAGAGCTCACGTGAAGAGTGTCTAAGCATCTGCAGAATATACACCTTCATTAATCTGTGCCCCCCACATATCTTGGAATGGCTTGCAGGCATTTTTAAAAACTGATAACCCTTTAAAAATAATAGTAACAACAGCAGCAGCAGCAATAACAACACTAGGCATACGTTATGCTTCAGCTTATTTCAGAACATATTGCAGCTGTTGTCTGCAGATTGCAGATCATCTAACATATTTTGGAAAGCACTGATTTCAAAAGTATGATTTGGACATGAATGCCGTAAGTTAGGCTACCTTCCACTAGATTTTTTAGGAACTGAACCCTAAATGTGTGCTCTGTCTTATGATTTGCACAGCACCATCAACATACATGAAACTTTGACATGGTCCCAAACAGGGACCCAGGGGTACAAAAGGAAGCTACACACTAATTCATATGTTTAGAGAACTCTTCTTCTATGGTTTTTTCATCTGTGAATTTGGAGTAACAATATCTGAACTGAATCTTGTGCACAATTCCTTTCATTAAGCAACTTAGTAAACTACCACACCAAAAATATTTACAAAAAATATTGTTCCTTTTCCAACTGGGCAATCTGTTTCATAAACCAATAATTATATATTTAGAATTGTCATAATAATACAGCAGAGACTGACAGTGCAGTTTTATCCTCTACTCAGAAGTAGATCCCACTGATTTCAATATAACTTACATCCAAGTAAAGGGATTACTTGCTTGCGAGGTCCCGCTATTTATTACCTTTCTATACTGCCTACAGTCAATACTTTCTGTGTAGTTTGCAACAACTAAAGCACTTAAGATACAATATAGAATTTTAACATTACAGTATAAAATAAAAATAGAAACTAAGATGAAACCTAGCAGCAATGCAAAGATTTAATATACTATGGTAGATATAAAACAATTGAAATGACAAAGCAGAAGGACCAAGGAAGTAAGATATTCACCTGGTATCATAAATGGTATCATTACGTTATATGGTCATCAGGTAAGCTTCTCTGGAAAACTCTTTCCACAAGGATGCCACAACAGAAAAAGCCCTCTTTTAAGTTGTGTGGGACTGCTGACTCAGCTGCTCTTAACCTGTCTACCTTAAAACCTTAGCATTATGCATACAAGACTAGAAGTAGCATTGTACCTATAATATTAAATAGATGAAGCTATTTATTATGCTGTACAACAGTAATTTTGATTACTATTGCTACATCTTTGCTATCCTAATGAACTACAAAAGTGACCAGGCTGCATTTCAAACAGATAGAATCACAGAAACAGAACAAGTCAGAAGGGGTCTGCCAGGCCATCTAGTCTGACCCCACCTCCACCTGGCTCTGCTCATTTCACGCCTACCATGTGCATATCCAGTCTAGTACCTATTTCCTACAGAGGTTCCTCTTATGTCTAATCCCTCTTTTAGAATCCATGGTGGTGCTCTCCTTTGAAATATCACAAGGGATGAAATAGCCCTTTCACCTACCAGACCTTCTGCATGAAAAACCCTCCCTTAACAGCATCTAGGAAGCAATGTGACCTGGGAGTGAGTCTCCCAACTAATATCTGGGAGATTGAAATCTCCTATAATTACCATGTCTCTCCCGCAAGAGATCCTTCCAATCTGATCTGTCAAGGCATTGTCCAAGGTCTCAAGTTGACTAAGTGGGTTATAGCATACCCCCACTGTCAGCTCCCTCCCCCTGGTGAAACTCCTGAGTTTCATCCAGACCACCTCTGTCATATTCCCACATGCGCCACATTCTATCTCATTGCATCCTGTCCCTTCCCTGACACTTAATGGTACGACCTCTCCCATCTTTACCTTCCTGTCCTTTCTAAAAAAGACATACCCCTCTACATTTACATTCCAATCCTACCTTTCATCCCACCATGTTTCCGTGATCCCCATCAGGTCATGTCTTCCTATTCCCAGGAGATCCTCAAGCTATTCCTTCTTGTTTCCCGTGCTCCTAGCATCAGTATACATGCATCTCAGCACCTTCCCAGGACCCCCTTTGTTTAGGTCCCCCAGCCTCCTTCTCCTTCCCTTCTGCCCTGGTACTGGAACCCTCTTTGCATAAATCCCACCAGTCCCTACATTACCTTCAACATCCTGGTCCTGAAACCCTGATCCTCTCCTATCTTAATAGATAACTATTAAACTGCAATTACAATGCACAGATGCACTGTTCTGGCTTGTGATTAAGATCTGTGAGGTTGGCAGGCAGTAGAGACAGGAATTTCTTGAAAAGCAACTACGAAATACATTAAATAGAGTTTTATTTTCTTTGCACATTTTCATTTAGAATATGTCACAAAGTGCAACTGTTTAATATCTCAGTATGATATCTGAAACTATTATTGGGACACCTGGTCAGAGAAGAAATCTAGGTATACCATTTCAACAGGATGCTGAAAAAAAGATTGATCTGTAGGAAATCTATCAAGAGACCAGAATATGCTGACAAAACAAACCTCAAAAGAAAAAGCTGAGGCCTTAAATCCTGAAAAAAGACCTTTGAGGTCAAAACTCTTACTCCAGGGAATCCTGAACAGGTCAATTCCAGGAGAAGGTAGATTGAAGAATGCAGACTGAGAAATTCTAGCCAAACAAGAAATAACTAAAAATGAAAAATGCATGCAAGGAGAAATTTGGGAAACAAGTGGCCCTATTATGAAACCTTAACATATTATGAGCATATTTGCTTGTAAGTAAAGCTGTGTTCAGATACCTGGATTTTCACACATTTTAGAATGACCTTTGAAATCCTTCCACTGCCATCCTTTCCTGAAGAAAAGCAGTTTATTGAACATGGAATGATTTTCCCCACTATGGATGAGTGATTATATATGCCAAGGAAGCATGAATATATGGTTTGTCTTGTCCGTATCCCATGAAAAAAACTTTCTTGGAAATATACCCCTTTGTGGTTTTTATATTAACCAGGCCTTAAAGGAATGTAGATTTGAGAATTTACAGGGACCTTCTCAGTTCTGAGAATGAAGCATCCTGAGACAACTTAAAGACAGGAAAAAAGTATTACAGCTTTTGTAGACTAAAGTTCACTTCCACCAGATGCATGAACTGTTCGTATCAGTTGACTGGTATATATACATACATGGGTTCAGAGAGGAAAAAGAATTTAAACGCTGAAGGCAGATGAAAATACAAAATACAGACTGAGATAATTATATTGAAGTGAAACTGTATTGACATGGTCATTATTCACAACAGTAGTAATTGACAATGCAAACATCCTAGCATTGCTAAGTTAACTAATTATCTGTAGTGGGACAGGAAACTACAATCATGATTCAATCCGGAAATGATAGAATTGAACTTATTATTCAGCAGTTTCATGCTAGAGCAGTGGTGGCAAACTGCAGTGGGCACGAAGAGCCCTCTCTGTCAGCACATGAGCCAAGTTGCCCCAGCATCACCCCAGCAGCCAAACATAACAGCGCACATAGGGGCCATGTGCATGCTCAGAAAGGAGTAGCAGCACCAGGCAATGACATCACAAACCGTGACTCATTAGCTGTGATTCATCTGAGCTTTCACATGGCTGGTCAGTGCGCTGCCAAGTATACATATTTGCTTGGACTGGCTGTGGGTTGTTTTTTCTAAACTAAAACCTCAGTATTCAGGTTTTATTGCAGTGTTGGCACTTTGCGATAAATAAGTGGGTTCTGGGTTGCAGTTTGGGCACTTGGTCTCTAAAAGGTTCACCATCACTGTGCTAGAGTCTCTGTATGATCTCCTTTTCTTCAAGAATGGCCAGTTTTAAGTCTGAAAAATGGCCACTTCTTAAGATTAGTACAGCATAGGAGAGGAGCACTGATTCATTCTACTAATAAAGGACTGTGTAAGCTCTTCTGCTAGAATCTCACCATATATGAAAATGTTAGCTAATGACTGGGCAAGTTTACTAGGTCCATACCATTCATTTCAGTGCAGCATGTCTCCATGAAACTGCAAGGACAAAGCCTACAGTGATACGTAGTTGTAATGAAGAAGGCACAATGTCCCCAGAAAGGGGAAGACAGACTTAAATCTAGACCTGCAGAGCCCAGGTGGCAGCTTCAAGGACATTTCAGGCTGAGGCTGGGCAAAGAGAGGGAGAGAAAAACATCTAACAGTTGCAAATCCTTCCACACTCCCAGGGAGAAGGGTCTGGGAGAGGTGGGGGGTTGGCACATTGATGGGCCCCACCTGAAATGCTCAGGAGATGTCACCCCATGGACCCAAAAGCTCTGATTGCTTGGGTGATGGGGAGAATAAAAGGAGAGCACTCAGGCTGGTGGTTGTTTCCTTTTTGGAGAGAAACTGGTTGCTGCTGAAGCCTTTGTCCACTCAGGGAGCTTTGAGGTGCAGATTCACCTTGGAGGCTGTGGGGAGGTGGGGACTACATGATAGCAGGAGTGAGATAAAATACACGACCTAATCCAAGGGCAGTGGAAGTTATTGTATGAAGGGGAAGGCCACCTTAGACCATTTGTTGTTTTGCACAGTTAGGATGGCTGGAGATGGTAAGAGCAGGCACCAGGTGCTGTGGCTGAAGGTAAGGGTTAGCTGAGGAAGGAGCCCAGGAATTGGCGTGGGCTCTGTCTGGGTGCAGAGCTGGAGGTCAATGTGGATGAGGAGGCTGTAGTTACCCCAGGAAGGAGGCAGGCCAAGAGTTGCTCCCTTGGTCTGGGGGAAGGAATGCCAGTGTGACCATAATTAAGCAGTCCTTGATTCAGTAAAGAGGAGACTATCAGGTTTCCAAGGAAAGCCCTTATCAAAGAGAGACTGAACACCAGATCTGGTTTTAAAACTATGCATGTAACATTTATTCTATGATATAAAGAATACAGAAGTGTAAGAATATAAGTTCAGAGTCATCAGCAACAATATCAAGAGGCCTCTTTCACGCTCACATTCATGCCACTCATACTCACAGCCAATAGACCCTCTCCAGGCAGTGATCCATCGGGACTATGGGTAACCAGTTCAGTGCTGTTCTGGCACACACGGAAGCTGGAAAGCCCCAGCATTTTATACCTTAAAGTTGACACTATCAACTTAGTCCAACTGGATCGAACAGTGAACTCTGAGCAGAGCTGATGCAGAATGTGCTGGTTTTTGTCACAGGATTCCATTCTCCCTCTGGATGGTCCAGGGCGGGCTTATCTTATCTTGTTATGTTTCATTCTCCAACCACTCCCGGCCTCTCCGTTTTGCCGCGAAAAATACTCAGTCCTGGTCAATCCCATAAAGCTTTTTGCTTCTCCATTTTCTTCTGGGTCTTTAGGCCTTCAGGAACCCATGCACAGTGTAACAAACACCCCCTCTTGGTATTGTAATTCTCTTACAATATCAAATATAATAATGAAATTGAGAAAGGGAAAAATCATGTAAATTAAGTATCACATTTGTTCAATTATGTGTTTCACTTGGGTTTCAGTAATTTTGAAATCATGTTGCATGTTCCTCATCTTTTTGATTAAACAAATCATCCATAATATTATAATGATCATTACAAACATGATCCATACAATTGGGTGAATGAGCAAGTGTAAAAAAAAGCAGAAGCTTTAGGTGAATACTCATAAAATATATCATACCAATGAAGTTCAATTAATGAGCTTTTTTCATCAGCTATTCTCTGGAATTCACCATTTTGATATTGGATCTTAACAAATTATTTAGCTGTATCCCACCTATGTTTCTGTAAGTGTTGTTTTATTTGTTCATTCTCCTTCAATAAAACATTTAGTTTTGCAAAATTTAACCCCAGGGAAAAATTCAACCATACTTCTCCTTTTGTTAATCTTACTCCTGTGTTTACCATTTCCATAGCATAATGTATGTGTCTAGTTATGTTTTGCATATAAGTTATATTACACTTACGCTATTGTCCTTTTTCCAAAATCATTCCATTAGACAAGAAAATTGATTAGACAGTTGTTACACATAAACATCCTATTGCAGTATCTATAATAAAAGTATCATTCCCCATTTTCTGTAGTCTACAAATACCATCCCTAATGTTCGAGTTACATGGTTCCCTTTGGGTTATAATCTTAGGACAAACTTTCCCACTTTTCACATCAAGATAAATCAACTGTGGTGTTGACAGATGTTCCCCTTTGAGTACACAAAGCATGATTAGACAAGAAGTAAGGCATCCAAAACACTCCATTGTTTCCGATTGGCATTGGTTGTATATCACATACTAATCCTTCTGTAGTGGTTTTTGTTTCACTATACTCTAATGAATACATTTCTACATACCAGTGTCCTTCTTCCATTCTATATTGTCCTATTTGATACCAATCTTTAAAATCAGTGTTAATGTAGTTATTCCATCCTGCTATATTGATAAGCATAGCCACATGTTTCCCTGTTAACACCATTTCCATATATTCTCTTATGAGTACCTGTTGTAATGTAATACAAGATAGAGACATTCTCACTCTTGCATCTGTCTGCTTAAACAAATCCTTTATTTCAAAGGTTTCATTTAAATGGTTAAAAGTTTCTTCAGGTAGACCTGCAGACATTGCATGTAATTTATAACTGTTTTCAAAATCATCTCCCATTTTTAGTATTTTCCATAGTGATCTTTCCAATGTTGATAATTTATTTGCAGTTTTCTCTATATCCCAAGAATTGGTGACCCTACCCCTGTTCCAATGCCTCCTAATATGGTGTCTAAGAGATCTCTCCCTCTTCTCTTCCATCTATCTTGTTTGCCTCTCATTAAATTGTACATGGCCATGTCCTTACATATAGGTTTTATTTTTGTAACATTAAACAAAGTCATGTTAATATACAAGTTCCATTTATGTATTCTTGGGCCAAACACAATCTTTTGTGGCATATGCCATTGAAATACTATGGAGGAAACTGTTTTATTTACTGATTCATCCTTTCCATTTGTTAGCAAGTATATTCCATACACCAAAGGTCTTTTCACCTTCTTCTCATCCTCACACAGTCCATCCGTAGTATTTCTCAGGATTCCCTCCATTACATAAAATTGTATCTCGGCATTATTGCAAGTGTAATTCAAGTGACACTTATTGTCACACTGAGTTTGGTTATTTAGTTCTTTGTGCCATTCCTCTATCCTAATGTCGGGTAAGCCTTTAATACAAAATCCTTTATACCAAATTGAGGTAAGATATGACGTTCTAGTCGCCCATGTACCATTTTTGTAAATTGGAAATAATAATCGTCCTTGATATTGTCCTGGTCAGTATACTCCCACAGATACACCCCCCATAATACCATAATACTGTTTCCCCCCTTTTTAGTGTGTTATTAACACAATTTGCAATTGAACGGAACCAGGACATTCTGCATTTTGGATATTCCCGCTCTGATAACTTGTCTCTATATGTTTTCTGGGTATATGGTGGATAAGTTTTCCTAGTAGTAGATTCCACTCACTGGTTAATCATCTTGTATTTCCTTTCTGTATCTTCCATTGTTACTATTTATGTGTTTGTTGTTGTACTTATTTCAGGAGCACTCCGTGATTATCTCCTTATGTTCCCCTGTATTTTCCAACATGTTTTCCACTTTATCCATGTGTTCAACAACTCTAACACCATTTGATTATTTTGATCTCTTGTAATGCATGCCCTTTGTGCAGTACCTTGTTTTATTATTAATTCTCTTTTATCACACATGTCTGTTGCATTATACAACTCAATTGTTAATTGTCTATTCAATGGCACCTTCTCCAGGTTTTTGTTCCCATGTCATCACTTCTCTTTTTGCCTTGCCTGATCCTGTACTCACACAGAACACTCTTAAAGCATATGGGATGCTGTGTGTCCCTATGGTATCTATATATTCCTCTATATGTAAATCCGAGAAGAATCTACCAAATTGTTGGGCTTCCTCTTCATTCATATCAAATCTGTCTCTTGCTGCCCAAAATCTTGTCACCCACACTACGGGTATCCCTTTTGATTGCCCCACCTCCTGAGCAATTTCCTGCAATTCTTTATTCATAATTGCTTCTTCTGTTACTTTTCTGTGCCTGATCTCCTAAAGCCTATCACTCTCATAAGTGGTCACTGTTCTTCGGTATGCTACCACTGGTTTAACCTTTTTAGCTTTTATTATGGCACCAGGTCTTGTCCCTAATGGAGAACAATCTGGGTTCTCTGGGCAAGTACCATTGTAACAACACCCATCAATGTACGGTGGGGATGGAGGAAAGGGTTCTTCCCCACTGCTATCCTCCAAACTATTGTCCCCATCATTCTCCTTTATTCTATCCTTCTGATATGCTCCCACCTTCACTGGTTTTGGCTTTCCTTTTATAAGGGTTGAAAGGACCTCATAGTGGCAATCTTGTAAGAGTCAAATGAAAACATCCTGTATTCAAAGGAAGAAAGGTGAAGCAATGAGAGTATAATCAATTATATCTCTTTCTGTGTTACAGTGCACATCCAAAATGGGTGAATGACATTCATTCATATGAATACTGAGTATCTAAAACAAATTCTGTGGATTATTGAACATTCAGAGATATACCAGCAAATATTAACAATAAACTGAAAGGAAATCTTTTGAGTTGTGGCTGTGCATGCACACACACGCACTTCAGGCATTCACAATATTCACATTATTTTGTGTAGACAGTATTCACATGCGAATGTCATACACACATATTCAGTATATTTTTTATATTATATGTATGTGTGTGCATGTGTATCATGCAAATCCATGTTTTGTTTACCTGCAGTTAACAATCCACATTTGTGAAAATGAACTTCCAGTGTATAAATGTGTACACTGGAGGTTGAAGAATCAAGCTGAATATTCTTCTGAATAGCGTATTTTAAGATATAAAAAAGAAATAAACATAATATTCTATTGAGAACTTTATCCAGTCAGATCTTGTACATACTACAATTTAAGAGGAGTGCAGAATAATCCAGCAGCTCAACCCAGTTCATACATGCTTTGTTATGGAGTACCAATGGATCATAGAATCTGAGCAAGTCAGAAGGACCATCTAGTCTGACCCTGGCTCCAGCCAGCTCCACTCATGACATGCCTACCACGTGCAATGTCCTGTGATCATCTGTAAGTCCATAATATGACCAAAATGTCCCTGAAATGAAAATATGTTCATTTTAATTCAAAGCAGAGGCTATTAGATGGATCACATGGAGAAGAAGTAAAAACAAATGCACTGCAATGAAATTTGTAACTTGACAGATTTTAGATACAGTTGCCCAAAACACTTGATGTAGGGGTTCTTTGAGTGGACCCAAGCATTGCTATAATTTAAATGTTTTCTGATCTGAAAAAGGCAGGTTGCTTCCAGGTAACTGTTCTTCAAGTGGTCATCCGTGCATTCACACATATATGGGTGCTGCACCTGCGCAGTGCCTGTTGCTGGGAAGATTGTACAGCTTTAACGGTTTTGGAGGGAACTCTGCAGCCTTCATATAAACTTAGAAGGCACAACTTCTTTGCTAGTATGGGAAGAACACTGTCCAAAAATCTTTGACTCAATCAGGTTGTAGATCAGACAGAATGTATCTAAAACCAATATGCAATTATCAAACTATAAACCCTGCCAAATGTTGTGGAATTATTTCTAAAATACTGCCCATAAATATTAAATGTCTCCTAAGTGGACACATCCATGGAATAGAGTAATCTCTGCCTTTCTAACCTGAACTGAGATTCATTTACATGACTAAAGTCTGCATTCTCTTACATATTTGAAAAATGAGCTTACAGTCCCTAAATTTTCAACCTGGTACAAGGAAACATATTAGTTTGCATTCTGCTACTATACAGAGAAAAAGCTAAATCAATACTGCCTCTTTTATTTACATGTTTTATACCTGAGAAATGTAATTGCAGGGTGTGTTTTTAATTAACCTTATGTTTTATAGCTCTAATATTTACAAATCAGCCTATCTTTTATGCCATAGTAAAAAAGTTAATATACTTACAGGTTCTCCAGCAATACATCTTGGGCAAGGTTGGGCACCAGTTCTGGTTTCCTTATTCGGAATTATCTGATTAACAAGCACATATACACAAAATTCTCTAAAAACAACAATTATTTGAGATTTTTATTATGAAATATATTAACATTTTCTGTTAAAAGCATGGATTTGGGTTACATAAAACATACCACATAATTTGGCTTTTCTTTAATACTCTGAGGATTGAAAATTTCAGATGGATCTTTTTGTTTCAAGTTCTCTTCAATGTCCCAGGAATTCATAGTACACTTGCTTGGTGGGTGGCAAACAATGATCTTCTCCGAAACAGTTTCTTGACTTCTGCATACTCTTTTCTGCGGGAAGGGGATGAAAAACAAATTAAGAGTGAAGGATTTGTACCCCACCCCCCAACTGTACTTATGCTCAGTGGGCAGAGTGTGTTGTTCCTGGGAGATCAAGCCCTATCTCAAGGCCTATGTTTTCACAAATCGTAATTTTTCTAGCTCAATTTTCTGTTTGAGGTATGAACTAAAACTACCTTGCTGTTTGAGGATGGTCACAGGAGAAGACTGTAAAACTGTTTCTACACTGAACATATTGAATAAATCATAAATAAATTACAACAGGAGTTTTGAGGTGGATGTGAGGAGAAGGTAGAAAGAAAAACACAAGTTCATATCAATGAACTTGATCTCACAATGGTGTATTTTGGATGCTGGAAATTCTGTAACTCTTTTCACTGGATAAGTGAGCCAACTTTCATGAACATTGCTCACAAACTACACAGATGCATCATTATTACCTTTCCAATATGGAAATGTGGTGGCTGGGTGCTTAACAGTTTGAAAGTCACCCATCCAAGAATATGGTAGTGGTTACATTACCTTGTGGCACTTACTAGCTATGCTATTTATACATTTAGAAATGGTCTGACAACTTATGCTCAGAGGCTTCCAAGACCCATGGAATGTTGGGGAAAGATGAGCAATAACACCTAAGAGTATCAACTGGGACAAGCAGAAGGAAAATGGAATAAGCAGGATACTGGCCTGGATTGAGCTCCTAACAGGTTTTATCATCCTACAGAGTGAATCATATCCGGGCAATTCAGACAATGAGGTCAAGAAGCTCTTCTACAAGCTACCCCTGGACTAAGCCCTGTTTATGCTATACAGCATAATGAACAAACGTTTCCTGAAGAGGGGGAAGAAACAAAGGTCTCCATTTCTTCACTTCACCTGAAAATTTCCCCAATCCCTCTGAACAGCTCAAGATTTTATTTCTGTGTTGACAGGAACACTCCCCTTATGGGCCAAAGATACTCCACAACTTTTTGTTGCAGATGATCACTTGCAGAAACTATTCAAAATCTGAATATAAACAAACAAACAAAAATCCTGTTAGTTTAAAACAAAGGATGAATACAGGAAGAATCTCCAAGGAGAAAGGCTGAAACAAGAACACTACTGAAAAAGAAACAAGATATATCTAAAGTAAGTGAATCAGAAACAAAAGATATATTATATGAAGAATGTGCAAAATGTAATAATCAAAATCTGAGAAGGCTGTCTGAAGGCAGGCAGCTTTCCACTGGGAGAACATCCACTTCCTTTGTTACTGTAGAATTTGTCCTTTATTAAAAGCTATGACATACAAGTACAAGCAGCATAACTAGCAATATGCATGACAGGAGGATGAAAGAGAAAAGTGATTTATTCTACACATTAGAAGAAATTTTCCTTATCAAAAATAAAATGAGACTATTGCTATGGCTTTAAGGTATTTACTATCAGAGATAAAATTTAGCATAGACGGTAGATGGCTAAGAATCTTATACTAATGCAAGAAGAAGTTGCAAAGGCTTCTACAGAGAATTCCAAATTACTGAAGTTCAGTGACACTGAAAACATCTCATGGAACTGCAGCACAGACCAGTACAGAATTTTGATTGTGGAAAATGCATTAATAACACAGTACTAGCATGTCCACATCAAGGCCTAGTTGGTCAGCCAGCTTTAGACCTCTCCTATTTTTATTGATTGATTGATTTGCATCCTGCCTTTTTCCTACAAAGGGTTCAAGGCAGCTTACATCATTCTCCTCCTGCATCTTATCCCCACAACAACAACCCTGTGAGGTAGGTTGGGCTGAGAGTCTGTGACTGGCCCAAAGTCACCCAGTTGGCTCTATGGCTGAGCAGGGACTTGAACCCAGATCATCTGAGTTCCAGTCTCATGCTCTTAACCATTACACCACACTGGCTCTCATTTTGATTATATTTCTTACTGAATATAATCAAAATGGTGAATAAATGTGTTAATTCTGTCATAACAGGGCTCAAAAGTCCAAATGTCAGGTAGCATATTGGATATGGTAAGCAAGGCATAGAAGTTTATCTCAAATATATATGGGCAGACTCACTGGCTCAACTGGAAACATAAGAAAACTAAGCCGAATATGAACATATACTGCAAATTAACATTATCTGGCAAATTCATATGGGTTAAAGTGAATTTTGTACAAAGGCTTCACAAAATGTATGGTGTAAGTGTAGTGAATAACAATTTATCATTAAATAGATTAGGTGGCAAATGCTTTAGAGTACTGGCTTAAATTAGTATTATGTATTTTAACTTTTGCTACTTTGTAGTTAACATCAAGGATCCTCTTGATTTTGGTATTCTGTTGCATTATTTGTTGTCATCCCACATGTCAATAAAATGAGTGACTGCTGTACCACTATCTTCCAGTAGGGAAAACTAGTGTCCTTTCAAAATACAGGTTCACCCAGGGCCGTCTTAACGCATGGGCCTGATGGGCACTTGCCCGTGGGACCCATACTAATCTGTGTATGTTAACCCTTGGAAAACTTCCAAAATTAACAGTAGTTGTTGTAGGGGCCCCAGTACACTGCTTTGCCTGGGGCCCATCATGCCGTTAAGACAGCCCTGGGTTCACCCATGCTCCCTTACCCAGTGCAAGAAAGTATGGGTCAGTTACATTTTTCCAGCATGAAATATGGATTAAAAGCAAACCAGGAGTAGAGATGGGGCAAATAAGCTAATATGTGGTCTCAAGACTCAGTGGAGTTGTACTTATATATGCCATAGAAATCTGGCAGCTGTAAGAATTTACATTCTGCTAGGACCAAGCTAATACTTCCACCAAATTTTTACAGTGTTGGGAGGCTGCCTTACCCAGAGGTCTGAGACACTTCCTCCCAGTATTTTGGGATATTATGTGTTGCCACTTAAAGAAACTCGGCCTTACACACTGTAAAAACAAGTCTGGAATGCTTGTATCTCTGGTTGTAATGGCAAAAAAGATCCAGCATGTCAGTGTGTCTTAGGTCATCTGGTCATGTACAAAAGGTGGAATTTCAACAATCAATCACACTGAAATTTGGTGCTTCCTGATGGATTCAGCCATATTAATCAGAAAGTTGACATGAATAAATCTAGGCAAAGAATTCCCTACTTTCAAAGTGATACACAATTGCTAAAAATCACAAACCCCCACCCATAGCTACGGCAATTCCAAGAAAATCCCAGCCTGATTAGATTTGGAAAAAGAATCTTAAAGGTGTCAAAAACAATATTCTTTTAGACAGTTCCCTTAGAAACATGGTTTCTTTGTCTAATTTCTATAAAGCAGGGTCAAAAATGCCCAATGTTCCTGATATCTCTAAGGTTCTGGGCATTTTCATATTCCTGATTACCTCAAGGTCCTGGTGCACGCCCTTCTCATACATCTGTTGGCTCCTTTACTCCCTTTGCTAAATTCATCCTTAAGCCACAAAGTCCAGGATTCTGCAAAGGAGGCTCTTCACTCCTTTCTTCCTGATTCTGGCTGCCAAAATTTCTGTATTTGCTCAAATGGCAACCTGCATGCAGCCTTTTACAAGCCGTTTTCTACAACAATATCAGGAATTTCCTTGTGCCCAAGTTCCATCTTTAGGCTGATCCAATGGAATACCTAGATGATATCTTTCAGTTGTGTCCTATGTTCTGGATATCCTTTTCTTACAAATTGAGCTGCCACCTCTGTTAGCCCCTTGGATAGTTGGACAGTTCCCATAATTATTGTAGCTCACAGTAGCTTATTTAAACTATAGTGAGTTGTGTGTGCCAGTAGTCACTCTGAATATTCAAACCACAAGTTACTATGGCTTATTGTGCAGTCTGAATATTCAAATGACCACTGGCATGCCTCAGAACCTACCATGGCTTACATAAGCCATGATGTCAATCACTAACTCATGTTAATGTGTCTCTCAACCTTCTTGTAATTTTGAGTGTCATGAGCACTCTCACAAATGGCTGCTATGGAGTCATTGCCCAGTCATAAAAAGCTGCCATGGTGGGTATGGTTGGGCATAAAATACTAATTTCCCAGAAGGCAAAATGGTGATGTCAAAAGAAAAGTAATTTATTCCAAAACCAAAATACAGGGCAGAGGTAGGCTCTACACATGCACAGAAGATGAGGAAAGAACTGAGCATGTTCAGCCTCAAGAAGAGAAGACTGAGGAGAGATATGATAGCACTAATGAATGGACTTACGTTATAAGAAACCAGAATTAGACTAGTCACTAGGAAGAATTTTCTCACTGTCAGAACAGTACGGCAATGTGGTCTCTCCCTCACTAGAGACATTCAAAAATCGGCCGGACAATCATCTGAGTGAAATGGTATAACTTAAGTGTCCTGTGATAGCAGGACCTGATGGTCTTCTGGCCCCGTTCAACCCTATTATTCTATGATTCTACATATACCCGCAAAACTTATTCAATTGAACCAAATAAAAATGACATTGGAAAGTACCACTTCACTTTGTAGCATGCAAGCTTGCCAGTGGAAATAATAGTTCTAAAATTCTTAAAATAAAAATCAGGATGGACAAAGGTTATGGTAAATGGCAGGAAGGATGTCTGTGGGCACCATGTCAGAGATCCTAGATACAGAATTCTATTGTATAACTTTAGCATTGTAATGCAGTTACTTTTGGCAAGATACATCTATTGCTTTCACCATCATATCAGTAGACTTGAGTAACCTCAAAGCCAGATGATTTCCTATGCATGGCTATTCAAAAATAAATTCCACTGAATTCATTTACAGCCTCTTATCTCTTACAGGCCCAGCAATAATTTACCTGGCTGACCTATATGCTTCCCTCCCACTGCACAATTAATGGAGGATATACTTCAAGGTATAATTTGCAGTACAGCAAAACATTATGGCACATACATTTGGTGTACTAATGCCATTACAAAAATAGCAAGGGGTTTTTTGGTTTCTGGAGGCAGGGCTGTTCACTAGTTCATATTACATTATTGGTAGCCCCCTGATGTCCCATTAACTAGTATTGCAAAGCTGGTGGTCCTCTTTTGGTTGCCTGACAGAAGGAATACCGGAAAGTCACATTTGATATTTCAGGCAGCTGCCAAAAGTGGTGAGCTACCGGATCACTGAGCCTGAGTACGGAACTCAGTTGTGAGTCTGCAAAGTTCTTGGTTGTTCCAGTTGACCACAATCTGACTGGCTAGGAATATTTATCTAAGAGCCTGGGATTCAGTACTTCAGCTTATGGCATCACAGTAAGGTTCTCTATGTTAAATTCCAGTTACTAGAGCTTCATTCAATAGGTTGTATGCTGACACTGAAGCTTTCTCTTACAGTAACTGACATCTTACTCTGTTGTTGGTATTATGACATTTTTGTATTATTTCTGAATGTCTCCATAAAACCTACTGTCTTTTCCTCTGCTTGATAATTTTAGTTTGGTTAGTTCTGGAAGAAATGTACTGTTTGACCCAAGGGAGAGGCAGGATAGGAAACCTGCACTCACAGTCTGGCTTGGCTGCATTACCATATGGCTGGGAGCATATTCTTAGTTGAGTGTATCAGTGGAATAAAAATTAAAGGAGACACCAATTACCAACTATGATCTCAAAAGCTGCAGATAAGACCAATGCCCCTTAAGGGTAATATTAAAACTCATTCTACTGAATATAAAGCATTAAAGACGATAGCCTTTATACAGAAACTGAAAATAAGGATGGCATTAGATTGCATTATTCTGATCAACACAGTGAACAAATCTAATCCAACACAGAAAAGCCATTAGTGTCACCAAAAAAGGAGAAAAAATGTGGAGTGGGTGGGAAGCAACTAATGGCATTAATGCATTAACAGCTTCTGGTCACTTAATGGAGTAGTTTAATAAGCTCTAGAGGGGAAACATGGTCAACCCTTTTCTGCCAAAGGGAAGGTTAGAGCAGAGTGTGGGTTTTGAAGATAGTGGGTTAAATTCCTGAGGGATTTGCCTACCTTGCTGTATATTTGCAAATGCTCTTTTAATAACACAAATGATAACTAACTACAATTAAGTACCAAAGGTTGCTCTTTTAACAAGCACATGCCATGACACTGTTAGGTTTAATTATGCTATAAAGCTCACTGGAACTACTTCAGAAAAGGGATATGGGGAGATCAAGCTTTGGAAAATTAATGTATAAGAAATCACTGGTGATTTTAGCTGTCATAAGTGTGCTGCTGCATTTGAATTCTGAATTATATCCTTTTAAAAACTTTTTTTTTGCTTACAAAGACATTTTAAAGACTCTATATTAAATTTCCCTCTGGCTACTTCCACATAAGCAAAAATGAAAACTTTGAAGGACTACACTCTGTAATGTTTAACTATTAACACTAGAGGGCTAAAACAAAATCTAATATTTAGTAATTTAGCTCTCAGAAGTGAGAAATAAATTAATATTTTTGAGCATAAAGAGCAGTTCACACTTATTCTAAATATCCTTGCTACAAAACATAATGAAGCCAGCTTCTGTAGGACATTGTTTAAGGTGAGATCCTCAATGTATTGAGTTTGGGGAAGGAAGTTTTGTGAAGAGCTCAAGTTCAGGATGGTGTCCTTCCCTCATTCTATTTATAAAAGCAGAATGGACTGGCAGCTGAATCTTACTTTGGCACATGGTGGCACTGGTACAGCATCTCCACCACACCTGAAGAAAGGAGGGTAGCTTTTTCATTTATTTGCAGTCATTTATTATATTTATAGGGATGCAGGTGGCACAGTGGTTTAAACTGCTGTGCTGCTGGGCTGGTTGATTGAAAGGTTGCTGGTTTGAATCTGCACAATGGGGTGAGTTCCCGTTGCTCCGTCTCAGCTCCTGCCAACCTTGCAGTTCAAAAGCATACAAATGCAAGTAGATTAATAGGTACCACTTCGGTGGGAAGGTAACAGCGTTCCATGCACTTTGGTGTTTAGTCATGCTGGCCACATGACCACGGAGACTGTCTGCGGACAAACGCTGGCTCCCTCAGCTAGGAAATGGAGATGAGCACCGCCCCCTGGAGTCAGACATGACTGGACTTTAATGTCAAGGGGAAACCTTTACCTTTATTATATTTAAAGCCCACCTTTTTTTCCTCCTGCAAGGAACCCAGGGTGGCTGGCATGTTTTTCCTCATTTTATTCTCTCAACAACACTATGAGGTGGGATGGCCCAAAGTTACCCCTGAGCATCATGGTTTAGTGGAGAATTAGAATCCATATCTGCCAAGTTCCTGCCCAATATTCTAACTAATGTGCCACACTAACTTATAGGGAGCAAAGAAGGCTATCAGGAACACATAGTTCTATCCTCCAACAGAGAGGAATGGCAGGAGGCTGCTGCTGTTCCTTCTAGACAAGGAGTCGGCAACCCGTGGCTCCGGAGAGGCATGTGGCTCTTGAATCCCTCTGCTGCGGCTCCGTTGCTCAAAATACGCGTCACAGCAGCCGATCTGTGACCCGTGCTGGCACAGCACAGCCCCCAATCTGCGACCCATGCCGGCACAGCACAGCCCCCGATCTGTTTCATAAATGCAACACACTATAGTTTTTTTATACATAGCATAAAGGTAAAAAATGATATATGCAGTGTTATTTTCATTTTAGAGGTCAAAAGAGTTTTGCGGCTCCTGGTGTTTTCTTTTCTGTGGGAAACGGGTTCAAATGGCTCTTTGAGTGTTAATGGTTGCCAACCCCTGTTCTAGACTATGCAGAGTGCCTGCATTATTATGTTTGCTAATAGAGTCAGACCTGATGAAGGAAGTCAGTGAAGGGAGTATTAGAACGGTTCCCTGCCAGTGCACCAAGTTTCCAAGGTGAATTCCTTCATCCCTTTGCACATATCCTTCCTTCCACCCAGCTCTCAAAGCAGGTGAGAAGGTAACTGCATAGCTTAGTATTTCAACTTCCCCAGCATAATCAGCAAAAATGCTAGGTGTCCAGACAAGTGGATATTTTTCCAGCCCCAGGCAACAATTTCTCCTCAATGCATATAATCCAGTTGTGTCTTCTCTCACCCTTGCAGCATCACCTTATCCTACTACCTCTGAACTGCCAAAGTATTACATCAGAAGCATCTACCATCTAAATTTATAACTGGGTAATGGTTTCTGACATTTATGCATCTCCAAGCTACTACATCTTTCTCCATTCTCACACCTATGACAGCTCATGAAATTTGCTTGTCAGAATCTGCTGCTTTCTCACAGAGTTTGCAAGGTCTGATGGATGAAGAGACACTCTAGGAAAGTGATGTAGAATCACTTGAATGTTTGAAGAGGCAGTAAAAGCATCTGTCAGAGATACTTGAGGCCTAAGAACATGAATGCCAAAATTGGTGCATGAGACTGAAGTTTATGACCCAGACTCTCTTTTTCAGACCCTCAAGTTTTATGATTTAGACTTCAGTCCTTTAAAATAATAGCCCTAAAGTCACAAAAGCAGGAAAACAAGCTTGTGGCATATATTCTCACTGATTTTGACTTGCAATTAGACAAAATTACTATTATATTGATAGAAGTGTCAGGAGTAGTGCAACTTGAAATGTGATTTGGTAGTTACCAGCTACCTATTTGTAACCAGCTCTAAGAGAATTTAATGAGTCTGTAGGTGTGGCAAACTCCTACCCCACTGAAAAATAATGTATGGAGGTCATGGAGGGAACTTTGGGTGGCTCAGAAGGACAGGTTGGGGTCAGCTGCAAGCCTACCTATGTCATAGACTCTGAGCAGCAAACATGGCTGGCTAAGACTATATGCTCGCCTATGCTAGGAGCCTGAGACTCAGGGGAATGGGAGGAAAAACTCACTCTGCCCTCCCATTTGGCTTCAAATGCAATATGGTGGTTAGGCTAAAAAGCCCTATGATGTCTTTGGGCACAAAGCTGGCCTTGTTCTATGCTGGATGAAGAGCTTGAAGACAAGGAGGTTGGAAGAGGGAGAGCAACAATAACAGCCCATTCTGACTTGTGAGGCACCCCTTACAGCCTAGATGATTGGGGTGGGGTTGGCAGTTCATCTTCTTCACAGGCCTTTTAAAGACATTATAAACTTTTTCTAATTATTTGTTTGTTAAAAATAAACCAGGGGGAAGAAAAAACTCAGAGAAGCAGTTCTTCCAGTCTGCAAGCCTTTAAAGACAAATTTTGTTTTCTAATAGTTTCTTTGTTAAAAAGAGAGAGAGAGAGAGAGAGAGAGAGAGAGAGAGAGAGAGAGAGAGAGATAGGGAAAATTTAAGGGGTCACCTCCCCTCCTTTACATGCCCACTTGTTATTAATATTTCCAAAGATCATTTGCAACCAAAGAATAACTCCAAAGGGAAAGTATTGTACCGTATAGAACCACGAAATGCTTGAAAACAAGAGAGAAAAGTGCAACGAAGCACTAAGCAAGGCTGCGTCAAAGAATCTTGAGAAGTAGCAAACGCATTTATGTCCGGAATGCACAAAACGGTACATAAATAAATTAGTCTTTTTTTTTGTTTGTTTGTTTTGTTACAATGTTCTGCTTGCCACTCAGGCCGTTATTTCAGACAAGACCAGAACGATCTCGTTCGGGCAATGTTGCTTGTACTGTGCCTTTAAAAACAGATCCTGAGAAGGAACTGGCAGAGAACGTTAACTTGCCAAATCTCGTTCTATCTTAAGGGGATTTTTGATACTGCCTTCTTCAGTTTTCTACTTCTCTCTCTCTGCCCATCCGTTGTTTTTATTCTTCTTTCTCTCTCCCCTCATTCCCGCGTAGATGGACTGAACGGCCAGCAAAAATCAGGTCTACAACAGGAATAACAGCAACGAGCGCTTTATCTGCTTTGAGCGCTTTCTTCCTCCCACCCTATCTTTGGAAAAATGACGGGCAAAGTAGCAATTTGAGCACAAAAGGAAAGAAAGAAGGGGCCGTAGCTTCGGCGGAAGTTATGACGCATGGCAGTCCGGGAAGCAGCGCGGGAACGCCCGTCAAACCCCTGCACACTGAGTGGCGGACTTACGCGCTCAGTCTCGGGCGTACATGGTTCCCGCGGCCGTCTCCGTTGCTGCTCCGCGACTATGTTCATAGCCAGCTGGGCCTAGCGTTGACTTTCCATGGACAGTGAACTGCCTGCTCGGTTTCTCCTGGGAGAATGCCTCGCTTCTTACCCGGTACTCCGCCCACTTGCTGAAGTCCATCCCCCTGATTGAAGCGTAGTCCAGCTCGCCTTGAAAGGCCCAACAAGCGGGGTGTGGGACTCTTAGTGCAATTTAACGACAGTTTTAGATGTACCGGTACCAGCAGGACGTAGGGGAGGGACAGGTGGAACGCTGAAGAGGACGCAGCTACGCTGGCATAATTTTAAACCTGGTTTCAGTGCTGAAAAGGTATCTTACTAGGAAAACAAGCTACAAGAATGCTTACTAGAAGATTCGCAGGAAGTTTGAGATATGACTGCTGCTCCGTTGAAATAAACACTGGCCACAGTAAAACAAGGAACAGTTCACGAAAAGGAATGGAAAGGGGCAGAGGGTATACATCTCATTAGCCACTGTTGTTTGGGGAATATCCAATGAATAGTCCTTGATCCTAGAGCTAGACTTATGTCTGTCATTGCAGGCTCTGGGCTCTCATTCCTGTCACTCAAGACCTGATGGCTAGCCCCATAATTTCTCCTGACTAATATGGTCTGGCTTCTATGAAAACCCCTACATTGCTTTACTGCATTCCTTTTTTCCCAATGGGTATTCTTTTCATTTGTTTTAGTCCATCTCTCCAATATTGAGATAATATTAATGGGTACCCTTGACAATATGCAATTAGTGCTTTTTCTTCAACATAGAAAGTCCACACGTGAAATTTTATTTATTTTATTCAGAAAATTTCTAGGCCGCCCCATTCACTGAAGCCTCGGGGTGGCTTACAAATAAATACATTTAAATACATAAATAATATAAAATACACATAACTGTATAAAATAAGTCACCCTGGCCAAAAAACTTTAAAATAAAAATAACATTAACAATTAAAATGACGCTTAAATAAAAAGGTCTTCGCCTGGTGCCGAAAAACAAATAATGACGGCGCTAGGTGGACCTCTCTGGGGAGCACATTCCATAGATTGGGCACCACCGCAGAGAAAGCCGTCCAATCCAGCACTAGCATAGATCTGGGCAGGGCATCTACAAGTGTATCCCTACCTCATACTGTATGCATAATGCAACAGACAACTAGGTGGCATGGTGCTTAAAAGTGCTGGACTGGCAACCTTGCATCCCCAGTTTTCATCCCCATTTGGTCATGAATTTCACTGGGTAACTTTGGGCCAGTCACTTATCTCAGCCTAACCCTACCTCATGGAGCTGTGAAGATAAAAATGGAGTGAAGGCAATGTAAGTTGCCTTGGGCTGCAAGAAGAAAAAAGGTACAGTATAAATGCACCTTTTATAATATAACAGCAAGGACATACATGTCACCTTAGAGCTGCACACATGTATGCTTAAGTCCCAGTAGCAGGAATACAGTATAAAGGTAAAGGTTTCCCCTGTTAAGTCCAGTCATGCCTGACTCTAGGGGGTGGTGCACATCTCCATTTCCTAGCTGAGGGAGCCAGCGTTTGTCCACAGACTCCATGGTCATGTGGCTGGCATGACTAAACGCCGAGGTGCACGGAATGCTGTTACCTTCCCACCAAAGTGGTACCTATTCATCTACTTGCATTTGTATGCTTTCGAACTGCATGGTTGGCAGGAGCTGGGACGGAGCAATGGGAACTCACCCCACTGTAGATTCGAACCGGCAACCTTTCAAGCAACCAGCCCAGCAGCACAGCTGTTTAAACCACTGTGCCACCTGCATCCTGGGAATACAGTATGACTGGATTTAAATTTAGACTCAGTGATCACAGGCAGCTTTCATGTGCCTAAGATAAAATTTTTGAAAGCTAGTTTGAGACTTGGCATGATGAAGGTTTGTGCTTCTGTTTCAGACACAGAACCTGCCTTCCTCAAAAAGTTTCAGCTGAATGCCAGTGTGTAGTTTGAACAAAGAACACTCAAGACACATTGGGCAATCAGGCAGATCCACCATACGTTGAACTTGGTTCTGCTTAACAGAAGGGTGTATAATCTTTGAAAAACATGGGAAATGCTGTCATTCAAATTACAGAAAAGGAGTCAGGGATGTAATAACTGCTGTGTCAGAAGACAGGGTATAACATGCTCTGCTATAAAGCCAGGCAAGCCCCAGTGTTGTTATTGAGCTTTATGGAACCTATGGAACTCCTAGAAACTGGCAACTTGTCCTAAAGGCCACCTTGTAAACAGAGAAAAAAAGGCAAATACTCTTAAAGGATCAAGCTTCATTAAGAATGTGAACACACCAATAACTTTTATTCCTATTTAAAAGGCTCACTTTGCATCCCACTGCCCAGGACATACTCTTGATAGTGGAGTGAGACAGGACATTTTTGGTGGTAGCATCCTGACTGGGAAACTCCTTCACAAGGAAGTTGAGATTAGGCTTTTATTGATATAATGTAGGCAAGCAGTTAAGATATTTTTATTCTACTAAACTTTTGTTATACTTCTATCCCCTTTCGCCTCGAACCTCAGCAGTTTTATTGAAAGATCTCTCAGGACCCCTGCAGTTACTTACAATAGCATGCTACTGGGTAGTGGTTCTCACTGGCAATTACAAACTCACAGCCCATATACAGACATTTTTATAACCTTCCAGTCACATACAGAGTATTAGGTTTCCAGATAATGTTAATATAATAGCATCTTGATGTCTTCGTATACAAAACAATACTCTAAACCAATCAGAAATGCCTGTGACAATAGAATAGAAAATTTCCCTGATGGAGCCTTATTGACAAGTCAATTCAGTGAATTCCTAACAGTTTGGATAACCCTCTGTCTGTTTAAACATGCAAATATGTCTGCTTGAGGAACCATTCAGGAAAACTGTTTTGACAACTATAGCAGGCGCTTGCCTCTGTGGAACTAGATGATTAAATGAGTCCATTCAGAAACAAATGAATGTCTTTGCCTGGTCTGCTGCTGATGGAGATGGGAACACTGTATTTCCCCACTGATAGTATTAAACCACAGCATCTTCTCACTCCAGCTATGATTCCATCTTCTTAAGGGAACAGCAAAGCTGAACAGTAACCTGGCTTGGAATTCTGCTGCTTTAAGAAAAAGGGGTGCAGGTTTGATTTTATAACATAAAGCTACATATAAGCAACATTTTTCTACCAGGATTTATCTGAATTGTCCCAACAGAAGCATCAACTCCATCAAAGCATAGGAAAGAGTGTTATGCATGGTAGTGTTAAGATATGCTCTGTCCTTGCATAAACAACAGACGTTACCCAACGGGATAGTAATTACAGAGTCAAGGAAGGGCCCATAATTGTTTAAATGATTAGTGGAAAGGTCCATGTAAAGAGTCACAGATACTGAGGTGATTCTGCTTGGCCTTTCCCTCATAAAAACTTCCTAGACATGATATTGGAAATAATGAGGCTTTTGATTAGTTTTGCTTGCCATGGAGGCCAAGATCCGTAACTACCATGAGTTCTAAGCAAGGTGGTGAGACCTGTTGTGAGAAGATAAATCTGCATTAAGTTGTTAGGGCAGTATTCAAGCAGACCATGCATAGCTGAGAGTCACCACCAGTTCCATTTTATAAGTGGTACAAGGAGAATTTAGTGCTACATGTAGGAAATGAAAAGGTTCATTTCCCCTGCGGTGGAGGGCAGGACACGTTCCAATAGAGCAAAGCTCAGGGAACCAAGATTCAAGGTGGATGCCAGGAAGTACTTCCTGACAGTTAAGACCCCTAGGGCATGGAATGGGCTTCCATGGGAGGTGGCTGAAGCCCCATCGGTGAGGGTGCTTAACAATAGACTGGACCTGCACATGGCAGGCATTTCATGAGTGGAGCCGGCTGGAGACAAGGGTCAGACTTAATGGCCCGGGAGGCCCCTTCTGACTCGCTGTTTTTGTTTCTATTTCTGGAATGGCACAAGTCATGTAAACGAGCTCATGTAAAGGGATTCCATTGACTTATCTTGCTCCAAAAAGGAACATTTGCATGCTTTTTCCAGGCTTCCTAAAGGAAGTGCTAAATGATGCATTGTGCAAATGGTGAGCTTTGCTTGCAGAATAGAATCAGTGGTGGACCCACTTGTGGACAGTGTGTTTGGATACAGTTCTTGTGTCTTTGTATGAATTTTACACCTCTTCTGGAGCCTACTGAAAATCTTCAAATGTGGGGGGTACCTAGGAACTTTCTCCAATTTGGTGCCCCTCTCAAATGTAGACTTCAAATCCCATAAACACCAGGAAGCACAGCTAATGATCAGGAATGCTGGGGTGGGGGTTGGGCTAAAATATCCGAAGGGCACCAGGTTGGGGAAGGCTGCTTAGGTAGTGCACATCTGGAACAAATCTTAAAGACAGCCCAAGCCCAACTAACTTACAAAACAGTGCTGTTATCTAGAAGATGAATAACTTCCTCAGTGAATTGCTTCCCTTTCCCTGCTAAGATGGTTGATATTTATAGCTAAAAAATTTACAGACTTTCTATCATATGTGGTGGGCATGCGAAATAACACAACAATTTTGGAAATTGATACATGCAGAAATGCAGAAAATCTTCAAAATTAAGTTTCATATGAGTCCCAAGAACATGCTTTTGAATATCATCCCAGAGACCCTTTTGAAAAATATGTCAGAGTTGTTTAAGTATATGACTATGGCAGCAAGAATCTCAATTGCTTCTAAATGGAAATCACTGGAGCCCCCAACTATTGAGGAATGGAGAAATAGACTAGCAGAATATACAGTGATGGCAAAGCTAACCAGCTAAGTAAACAGAAGACTGTTAGAAGAATTTAATGATAAATGGAAATTTTTACTGTGCTTAGCATGATTAATGGAAGTTTGGGGGAGTTATGAAAAGAAAAGAGAAAGCACTATTTGTTGATGTATAGAGAGTTTTTGGTAAGCTCTCACAAAGCGCAGGAAGATAGTTCGGGAGGTTGGCTGTCTCTGTTGGCAATCTTGTCTATTTTGTTTATCTTGTTCACTTTAGTTTGTTCTGTTTATACTAGCTTTTTTCTCTATTCTACATTTTTTCTATGTATTTGTATATGTTAAG